GACTCATCTCACTGAAACCTTTTTTAAAGTAGCAGATAAAAACCTGTTTCTAATGGAGCTTCCTGCTGTGTTTCTGCTCTCTGCTGCTGCTGCAGGTTTCCTCTTTTCTAAATGTTTCTTCTTCTCTCTTCACTCTCGATGTCTTTCTCTCCATCGCTCTGAATCATCGTCCTTCCTCTCCTCCTCCTCCTCCTCCTCCTCTTCTTCTTCTTCTACCTTCTCTCTCTCTAACTGTAGGCTGAAGACGATGTCGTTCTCCTGGCTGCTATTCCTTTGGCTGTGCTCGACTCTACCCTCTGCTGGTGGATATCCGCTACTGCACCTTTTCCCTTTTAGCTCGTCCCACTTTTCTGCTATTTTCTCTACTTCCTGCTTTGTTGTGTTTAGTCGTGTGGTGTAGGAAGAGAACCCGTCTCTCCCGGGTCAAAGGTTAAAGACATGTCAGGGGACATTTTCAAGTATTTATATGATTTACTGAACATTTAGCCGCTTAAGAAATGTGTTTTAGAATTTGTTGTGCAAAGCTAAATATTTTAAAGTCTTCACGTCTGAGGTGTGGATTGTAAAAATGCAGAGTGATAAAACTATAATTTTTTTTGAGGAGGTAGAGTTAATTTGAGTGTCTGTTGTCGATGTTCCTTGACTTCCCCGTCACATCTTTGTGAGTCTGGTTCAGACGATGAAGCTGCTGCGTCTGAGGAGGAACGTGGTGAAGCTCTCGCTCTACAGACACTTCACCAACACGCTCATCTTCGCCGTCATAGGTGAGAGAGATTTAATCTGGGAGCATGTTTTTTTAATATCAGCTGTCGTCGTTTTAAAACCTTCTACCTGTTTGTTTTGTTTTTTTTCTCTCCAGCGTCGGTCATCTTCATCATCTGGACCACCAAGACCTTCAGGATGTCAAAGTGTCAGTCTGTGAGTAGTTTGACTGAAGGCTTTGGTCTAAATGACGTAACCTAGGCAACGTGGATCATATTTACACAAAATATCTGTGTTAGTGCGTATGGCACACATTTTAGTAAGAAAGTTTCTCTCTTGACACGTTTTGGAACGCACTTTTTATTTATTTTTTAACAGATCAATAGAACACTGAGAAACATGTTTACGACCCTCTGAAGTCACTCAGGACAAAAATGTCCACTTCCAAAAAACTGCTTTAAAAATAGAACAGATTGATATTTTTTTCTACTTTTTTCTACATAAATCTCTTAAACAACTTCAGCCCTGCTCAAAACTACCAAACATTCAACCATTTTTAGGAATTTAACCCTTTAAGTGCCAGAATAATTTAATCAAACTAGCATTTAAAGGGTTAAATTCCTGATAATTACTCAATATTTGTTTTCTCTCTCTCGCCCTCCTCTTTGTGGAAAGCACGTCCTTTGTCAGTTTGCCATAAATGAACATTTAAACATGGGGACCCTCGTCTGTGAGGAGACGCTGGACTGACTTTGACTCTCTGAAGTCGGCGAGCTCTTCTTCATGGTCGCTCTCTCTTCTCTGTCTCTCTCTGCAGGACTGGAGGGAGCTGTGGATAGACGACGCCTTCTGGCGCTTCCTGTTCTCCATCGTCCTATTGGTCATCATGTTCCTATGGCGACCGTCAGCCAATAACCAGAGGTAGCAGAGAAGTCGGTGCAGTTTTTGACGTTTTTTTTTGTTTCTTTAATTGAAAAGTAAAACAAGTTTCCCTCCCCCCTCTCCCCCCTCTCTCCCCCCCTCTCTCTCTCCCCCCCCCCAGGTATGCTTTCAGTCCTCTGCTGGATGAGGAGAGCGAGGAGGAGGAGAAGGAGCCGATGATGAACGAGGCCTTCGGTCAGAAACACACCTTTCCTCCTTTCCTTCCTTTATCTCCTTTCCTTCAAGACTAGATTCCTTCTTCCTTCCCTTTATGTTCTGTTTGTCCCTCCTTAACGTCCTCATTTGGTCGATCAGTCAGCTAGTATTCGCCTCTGGGCAACAAGTTTTTCTATCCCCGTGTCTGAGTTCTTTTCAGAGTGATCATCTCCTGTGTGTGGTGTGTCTGTCTCTTCCCCGTGTGCGTCTTCAGAGGGGATGAAAATGAGAGGAATGAAGAACGAGACCAACGGGTCGGCCAAAGCCAACAAAGTGGTGAGTGAGCGCGTCCTCGTGGTCATCATACCCGTTATCGTCTTCAGTGTCTCCTCCTACCTGCTGGATGTCGTTATCGTTTCTATCACTGAGAAAACAAATAAATCAAAGTTTGTAAAGTGATGGAAATGAACCGGCTCTTTGTTTGTTTGTTTGTTTTTCAGGATGAAGATCTGAAATGGGTTGAAGAGAACATCCCGTCGTCTATGGCCGACGTGTACGTCAACATCAACATCAACATCAACATCAACATCAACATCAACATCAACATCTACATCAACATCTACATCAACATCAACATCAACATCAACATCTACATCAACATCAACATCTACATCAACATCTACATCAACATCAACATCTACATCAACATCTACATCAACAT